TTTTAAGTCTGTATCCATAATTTTCCTCTGCGTTCAAATCAGTGGTGGGATTCAAAAACTTTTACTACCAGTTCTATGGGCGTGGCTTGGTGGGTGTGGCCATGTGACTGGGTGGGCATGGCTTTTTTTGCAGCTCCCACCCATTTTTTGGGACCTTTCTAGCCTCAAAGGAGCCTCTGGGGGGCATTTTTGCTCCCCTAAGGCTCCTCTAAGGCTCAGGAAGAAAAGGAACAGAGCATGGGAGGGGCGCGCAGCACCCCTCCAAGCTCCGTTTTGGGAGCTTCCTAGCCTCAGAGGAGCCTCGGGGGGGGGGCATTTTGGCTCCCCTAAGGCTCCTCTGGGGCTCTGGAAGGCAAAAAATGGAGGAGGAGGCTGAGTTCCTCCCTCCATTTTTTGCCTTCCTGGGCCTTAGCAAGGGGAATCCTGGCACAGCTGATCGTATCTACAGCTGATTGTCAGGAGGGGGGAAAAAAGAAAGATGGAGAAGATAGCAAAGAACTTTCCCAGAAGTTGTTGTTCTGTCAAAATCATTACAATTGCATGGGATTAAAATAATCTAGAAAATATAAGAGGCCCCAGCATAATAGTATTCTGCATCACTTTTGCTTTAGCTTAAGTCTGTGTTCAAGACTCAACCACCAAAAAATGTTGGGTAAAAATGGGATTCAAGGAAAGTTTAAAAGGCACAGTATGTAGGAGATGACCAGATTGAGCCCGAGGGGGAGGGGTTAAACGTGTCATAAGTCAGGAGTCCCTTCGTGCCCACAAGAAATCTAAGTCCAGTCCACCTTGAATTCTTTAAATTAATGTCAAGCGCCCAGGAAATCAGGAGATTCAGGCAGTTCAAATGAGTATAAAGATTTATTGCAAGCTTAAGTTGTGTACAAGAATCTGGCCAAGTGACCATTAAGGGAAATGCATGGGAGTTAAGAATAGAAAGGAATTCAAGGTGGGCTGGACTTAGAACTCTTGCAGGTGTGAAGGGATTCCTGATTTAAGACGCATATGACCCTTCCCTCAGGCTCAGCCCAGTTAGCTCCCACAGAAACCATTGTTCATTAAAATATTGTTCATCTCAGGTTTGCCCCAAAGCTCCTGGATGTCTTTCAGAGCAACATATATAAACTGATGAAACAAGAGTGGAACTTTGTGGGGTGGATAGGTATCATTGTGTTTCATAGAAAGCAGGCAGTCAAAATTTAATGCCAGCTTTCAAGCAGTTCCATGGTTTGGGCTGATACAACCATGAAATCTATTTTCTGTCAGGAAGTTCTATAGGAAGGTATCAAACCATGTGTCACCACAACTACTGTGGAGTCATGGTGGTTTGAAGGCAGTATTCCAGGATAATTCTGCTGGCTGCCAGCAGTTTGGCAGTTTGAGTCTAACCAGTTCAAGGTTGACTCAGCCTTCCATCCTTACGAGGTCTGTAAAATGAGGACCCAGATTGTTGGGGGCAAGTCGGGAATAACTACCTTTTCAAACTGGCACATCACTTTGTTTCTGAAATAAATGGAAAAAGTACCAAACTTTGATCACTTAGATTATGTTTGGCCCGCCTGTGGCCAGCAGAGCTGGCAGCAGACTCAAACAGTGAGGAGGTTGGGGAGGAATATGGGCCAGTCAATATGGGGAAGGCTCTGATGAGTGCTCGGCGTTGGAGGCAGAGATGGGGCCAGGGCCATCCAACAGTTATCAGCTGCCTTTGGAGTTGGAGATCAGTGGGGCAGAAGAACAGCTAGAGACTGTTTCCGATGTATGCATGCACAGAGCTATCAGGAGAAGGGTGGAACAAGAGTTGAATTAAGGAACAAGGGTTGACTCTGGGAGTAAAGGCACAGGTGAATGGCTCCTCCCATTGGGAATAAATAGGAGCAAAAATGGAGTGGTGTTTGCAGGAGACAATTAGTTCGTTTAATTAGTGTGAATATCTGCTTATCTAAGATAGTGACTCCCAAAAACACCTTGCCAAGTATTTCCTTGTACAAGTGTTGTGCCCGGCAACTCTCCAAGCTGCTAAAGTCTGTGTCTGCAAATCACCCTTGAAAGTCTGTTTACCGGGACTTTGGATACGAATGATAGAAATTATTAGCCAAATAAAAAGGGGTTTTGTCAGACAAGGAGTCTGTTTCGTGATTTTGTGAAGCCTAGGTCAGAACAGATTCCTTTTATAAAATAGTAGCACCCATATGAAAATTAAAAATACTTTCTCAGGGAAAATATATATGCCAGTGGTTTGCCAGCAAGGTTGCAGTTAAATAAATCCCTTTCCAAATTTTGTATATGGTGCTTATTTTTATCAAAGAAGAGAAGCTTTAATCTATTCTAGAAGCTTGAATTTCCTGCCTTTTGTGTTTTATAATTTCTGAAAACTTAAAACTCCAAAGATGTAAGCATAAAGGAAAGATTTTTGTTAAAAAGAACTATGAGGTTAATGCATTAGTGTCTCTTTAATTTTTCCCACTATTTAATAAATACCCTGCTTGTGATTTTTTTTCTTGCTGTTTCCAACATAATGTGAAATATTGTGAAGAAACTGCCAATAATTTCTTAATGAAATTAGATGCTTCTATAAATTACAGTTAATTGAAATTGTGAAAATATAGCTTTCACGAACCCGATAAACATATTGCTTGAGTCCCATCTTTTTTTAACTAAGCTGAGGATTCATAATCTCATATAAAACTTTTAGTATTGGGCTTAAGTTATGTTATTAAATCCTTGGGACTAAGTGAGAAAGCATACCTGAAGCTTGTCAACAGCCTCCAGTTTAAATAATCCAAATTCATATCAGCGCTATTGCAATAAAATATATTTACAAATTAATCCCGTTGCTCTATTAATTATTAGTGTAATTACTGCAATTCTTCCCACCTTGTTTTCAGTATTTCTTAATCATTAAGCCGGAAGCCTGACAGCAGTGCCAGCCCTGGCATGATTCTTTTTGACTAAAACCTTGTAAATTAACACAATTAGCACAGCATCATGCTGCTAATTAACTTCCTGTGTCTGGTACAGCGGATGTGCAAACAAGGAATAGGGATTCAGCAGGGAATAAACATGCCACTCTGTTGCCAAACTGTATGTTGTGTTCGGTCTAGCTCAGCAGGGCTAAGATAGTCCTGCCAAGATGCTGGAGTCAGGCAAAGAAGAGCTAAAGGAAGAAAAAGAAGAAGAGGCCCAAAATAGGAAGAGAGTACAGGCTGTTAAATGAAAGATAGTAGTAAGTTATCAGAGAAACTCTACCATCCATGTTTGATGTATAGCAAACCTTTTTTAATCTGAGCATCTGCTCTAAATAATATGAGATAGGGGAAGGAAGGAAGGAAGGAGGGAGAGAAAGAAAGAAAGAAGGAAAGGAAAGGAAGAAGGAAGGCTGTTTTAGTGCTGCCTATTAGGCTGAACAAGTTTATAGATGGTAAGATAAGATGATAAGATAAACTTTATTGCCACTTTTTTCTGTGAAATGACACACATTAAAAAATGAAATTCTGAAGCCTGCTTTCAAAAGAATATATGCGCCCATACGGGATATAAAGGATTTTTTCCCCCTGCCTCCCTTGTCTGGTACAGGACCAAACTTTGTCCCATTGCCGCCGCCCCCTCCAAACTTTTAGTAACTGGCTTACACTTACATCTCTTTCTTCCTGCCCCCCCCCCCCAATTCCCTATTGCTTGGGGGGGAATTGGAAAAGAATGGGAGGAGAAAGAAGATAGACAAGTGTTGTGTGCTTTGCTCTTTCCACCCCCACCCCGCCCAGCCTGCTTCCTTCCAGAGCCTCAACAACAGGATTCTGACGCAGAGAGCAGCCCGTTGTAATTCATACCGAGTTGTAGGCTTTGTGTGATGAAAGCAATGGAGCGCTGCCTGGGAGATTGCTTTGCTGCACTCCACGAAGCAGATTTGAAACTGTCGTGGACCACTTTAGATGAGAGTTGGATTATGGAGTGACCTGCTATGTCTGTGTCATATTGTTCTGCACAGAGAGCATTATACTGTGCTAACTAGGTATTCAGTACCAAATAAGAAAGGTATCCTAGATGTGATTTGTCAGCTGTAGCTTATGGAAGATTGTTGTTTTTTTCCCCTCCTCCATTAAAATTTAAAAGTGCAATAAGGGAAGATGGTACGCTTTAGATATTGAAGAACAGATTATCTAATAGCAGGTGTTTGAGATTGGAATAAGGTCCATGAGTAACCCTTTAAAACAAATCCAGCTGGATAAAATCATTTCTTTGACTCTCTCTCTCTCCCCCTTCCAAGTTAGCACAACACATTAGAAGGGTGGGTGTATCCTTCCTCCTCCTCCTCCTCCTCCTCCCC